TATTTATGAAACTCATTTGTATCTTAGGAAGCTTTATTATATTCATGACATGTCGGAAATTCAATATAGGCTACAACACTAAGTTGTATGCCTTACTACATATCCCCTATCTCGGGCACAAAGGCGGGCACATCTACAGGGAGGTGATATAATTGACAATGTTAAACACGTATACCTCAAAGAAAATCAATGCAAAGATGTTGAATTGATAGTTGTAAACTCATATATAAGGGAGCTTTAATGTTACATCCGTTAACTCTCGGATATTGAATATAGAATACTATTTTATTACACAACTCGATCCCTATCTCGATCGGGCACATATAGGCGAGCACATCTACAGGGAGGTGGTTTAGCCGACGACCGAGTTGGTCACGTGTTTTATGTAGTTAAAAAACGACCAAAAGAATCGCCATTTTTGTATAAACTGTATCAAAAATGTATCAAAATCCACACTAAATAAATTTACTTAACACTCAAACCAGGGAGGTGTTTAAACACTTCTACCTCATAATCACGGACAATACAACTGTATAATGGTAAGATTTTGCCCTGATTTGGCTGAACCACCGTGTTGCACGTATTACCTTCATTGTACAGTCATGACCCCAATTCTGCACGTACGTACGTACGATCGTACGCGCGCAGTCAAGAACATCAATATTCATGAATTGACACGACGTCACTGATATGCATATTCATTGACCTCCTTGTAGATGTGCCCGATTAGAGGCTACCGTCAATCTCATCCCTTCTAGTCTACGCCGAAGGCAAAATGATTATGAAGGAAAAACTGTGATAACGCCATTACGAACGTGTAGAAGAAGAAGAAGAAGACGGCAGCGAAAAGCTAGATCCGCCCCTGTCTTTTGATCTTTTGATCGGCCATGATTCAACATCTGAAATGGGAGAGCCTGGAGAGGAGAAGAAATGCTGCAAGCCTCCACCTCATGTACAAGATCCAAAACGACACAGTAGCCATCAATGCACACCATTACACAGCACCCATGATTGCCAGCAACACACGACAGTATCACTCAAAGAAGTTGCTGGCTGTCCGATCCCGCACCCAGCTCTACCAGAACTCATTTTTCCCTCGGACAGTAACTGCATGGAATGCACTTTTAAAGATCACCCTTGACGCTACTTCACTGGAGGGCTTCAAGGGAGCGCTTCCACCCAGCATCTAGACCAATAACTAGATAGTTTATTCCTCAGCACTACATCCTGACTTATGGATTCTGCTGAGTATCGTCGTAGAAGTAGTCTAGAAGTAATGACCATCTGGGCTAAAAGTCATTTGGTCTAATCTACAATTAGTCTCCTAATCATTTGTGCTCATTCAAGAATACAGTCAAAGAAAGGAGAAGACACAAACAAAGTTTATATTCGTAACTACAAAACTTTAATCTCAAGGTATTTCATCAAATGGTGGGAAAATTACATTTCTATCAATATAATTGCACAATATCCTCAAGTTCATAACAAAAAACAAAGCCTTTGTGAGGAGATTAGAGGGGAATGTGCATCCATGTTTATAAAAAACAAAATTTTCCATGAAAATTATAAATCATCTGCTGGGATCAAGACGGGCGTTATTAAAGTATATGGCCAAAATTTACAAAGGAGGTTTAAATCTTACCATGGTTTAAATCCTCATTTACATACCCCATGGTCTGAAATTATCATAATTCATCACATACACATTCAGAGGTCCACTATCAGATGTGTGCAAGGCAAGGTACGCTTATCTTGCGCTAATTTTAGTCCATGGGTTATGTAAATGAAGATTTAAACAACCATGGGTTAAATTTAAACCTCCTTTGTGAATTTGGGCCTATGAGTTAACACTATGAACATCATGGACAAAGAAAGCGGACAAAATATACAGTTCCTCAGGTAGATAAAGGAACATCCCTTCACTGCTATTATGTAAAAATGTGTAGAACAGGTGTCACATGCATATATACCTGTTCTACACATTTTTTTTACATAATAGCAATGAAGGGATGTTCCTTTATCTACCTGAGAAACTGTATATTTTGTCCGCTTTCTTTGTCCGTGATGTTCATAGTGTAATGCCCTTCTAACTCTCAACAAACAATCCATACTGATATTGATTTGTATTATTCCATAGCAATTTGGAAAATAAACACACAGAAATCTCTTAAGAAGATGCGAAAATACAATGAAATGCACTTATCAAATGTAACACTAATATATAGGAGTTGTATGAAACTGAGCTGTCAGAAGGAACAAGCCCATAAATCTATTTCAGATACTATCATTGCACACTACTCTTTTATCATGATATACTAATCTCGAATCTAGAATCAATATAACTTAGGATGATTATTCAGAACTAAAACAGATCATATTTGTATGTTTCCACTCACATGTTGCTGATAACAGATGTAGAATGTACTACTGCATTTTCAAATGGAATCATAAACATCTGATATGGCATTAAATCCTCGATCACTATTCATCAAGTTTGTCAGAAAACCCTCAACACTGATGGTCCAATGGTTGCTTATATTCGCTTCTTTAGCAGTCAGGTTATAAAAGAAAAATCATCACAAACAGTGTGCTATCAAAAGAATAATGCAAAAATAATAATAGCAGCTGCACTGCATTTTTCTGTTCTATACAATAGTGAAATAATACTGATATTATAGAAAATTATTATTATTTTATTGGAAATACTTGATAACAATCATGTGCATGTAATATATTATCACAATTTAAGTGGCTTGACATTATTTAAAGCAAATATTTATATATGGCATTGATAATGCATTTTAATTTGTCAACATTCATTATACATGAAAAGGTAAGGCACATAAGTAATTGAGTTTAATACAACATTAAAGACAATATCCGAACTGGAAAATGAAATGGATGAATAGCGTATAATACACAGATTACAATAATATCAATTCTATGCCATTTTAGTATCAGCTCTCTGGAAACTCAAATTCTAAAGCTTTGAAAATCAGAAGTTGTTGACCTAACGTAAGCAAAATCAGACAGAACCCATGATAGCATAACAAAAACTTGTATGAGTACATACATGAATATACATAAATAAGCAATTAAGCATTCTTTGAAAGTATCCACTCCAGATTATTCTTATCATAAAAATTAGAATGTACCAGAAGGATTGCATACATGATGTGAGGGCAAGTACTCAACATATTTAGCAACTTGTTTGCCAAATTAACTCTTTATTTGCCACCTTTGTATACATCATGGGATATACAGTCCAACCTGCTTTAGTGACCACCTGTCTACAAAGACCACATTTGTTGTTTCCCTTGAAAACGGTTTCTCATTGAAACATGTACTAAAGTGGCCTGTACATAAAGACCACTTTTATGTCTCCCTTGTGTGGTCTTTATAGACAGGTTTCACTGTATATACCAAAAATGTTAAGATTATTCAACTGTTTCCAGTGCAAGATTAATCTATACCAGTGATAAATGGGTTGTCTGTGGCTAATCAACACCAAAAATTTGCCATTTTGCTAAGCCATTGTGTTTCACAAAGCGAATCCTTCCATAAATTGGTGCATGTTGTTATGTGCAAAATTGCATGTGTGGCAAAAGGGCAACCGTTCAGGGCATGGTAGAAAGCAAACTAGGTGTTAATAAGTAACAGAATTAATCCCTAACAGGGGTCGTAAACATAACATCAATAAAAATTGCAAACTATCAGCATATCAACAAGGCTATAGAGTATACCTTTGAGTTGTTTAAGGCTAAGCAAGGTTTCATAATGGGCAAGTGGAAAACAAAATATTAAACTAAAATACCAAACTAAATGGGCACAACTTATTATTTTTTTATCAACTTTTTTTTAAGGCACATGACCAACAAGGCTGTAAAATTCACCTCATTCTTCCTATAGTTTGTGTGTTGCCATGAATTGTATCCACCTCATTGAAGCAATTTGAGTTGGATCATATCAATTTATATACAAAAAATCAGTCATAAAAATTAATACATTTCATTGCACATTGATTACAAATTCTACAATTTTGATAGTACTGATCAGAAAATTACAAATATCAATGAAAATAACAATATTGATATAAATGATTGACAGATTAAACTGTTAAATCAAAATATGTTTTCCTAATATACACTGTACAATGACAAAATAAAACACAGTTTGTGATATCAGCTCCATGAAATTCTAATTGTACAAGATTGAGGCTTACATTTACCATAGAAAAAAAAGATATATACACGAAGGCAGAAGATTATGAATCTAGGCAATATTTATTGTGTAACTTATCCATTTATTTATCCTAAAATTGAAAAAATTCTTCCTGTAACCATTATCTCATGGTGGTGATACCAAAAGAACCATTTCTCAATGGTCATTTCAAGAGATTTTTCATTTATTGATGATATGGATATATGGATGTACGGGACACACTGCAAGGAATCACCCATCAAATAAATAGATAAAAAGAGCAAATCAACTTTGGATTGATACGAACGTTCATTTCCACCATACACTTTAAAAAGTGTGTAAATATACAACTAATAGATAAGCACACTACAATATTTGTAGCTAAAATGAAAAATGATTGCCTCACAAAATAATAATTGGATAAAAACTGCACTTTGACCTTTGACCCCTTGTCCTGGATGACAACATGAAGAGAAAATCAGTGGCGTCAAAACTGGACGGGAAATTACTTGCTGGTGGTTCATAACAAAAACAACATATTTCTCAAATATTCAAAACTACATGTAGCTCTTTTTCTTTGGTTTAGGCTGAATGTAAAACTAATGTAAACACAGAAAATCTGTGAGCATGACATTTTCATGAATTATGCAAAAATGATAACAACAGTAACAATAACTATTTCTCATATAGCACATTTTACACTCCTCTCAGTGTGGGCAGCATTCCGGCCAGTCAGCTGGGGCTACGTTCCGGCCCGTCAGCTGGGACAGCATTCCGGCCAGTCAGCTTACACATGTAGGTTATGTTATGAGCTTCATTAGGGTTTCCTTGAGCTCCTTCACGACAAGATATCGTCCATCTCTCTTGCTGGGGCTGCGACACTCCGCGATCTGACCTTTGACCTTTGCTCTCATGTAAGATGAGAGGTCAGAGGGTATGCTGTGGAGAAGGCCTCCGTCACCATGAGGGGAATCTTTGCCTGAGTGGACATGGAAGAATCAAAAGGAAATTTGTGACATGTTTGTAAGGAAATAATAGAAAGTGTTCCTTAGTACCTTATACAGTCAAACCTGCTTTAGTGACCACCTGTCTACAAAGACCACATTTTTTGTTTCCCTTGAAAATGGTTTCTCATTGAAACATGTACTAAAGGAACCTGTCTACAAAGACCACTTTTTGTGTTTCCCTTGAGCGGTCGCTATAGCCAGGTTTGACTGTATCTGTAAAGCGCTTAGATACTGTATTTCATATAAAGCGGGAAATAAATTCAAATTATTATTAGTACATTGCAGTTTTAAACGGAAAAGACCAATAATAAAAGTCACACACACACATTCCAAATTCACAATCTGAAAACAATCTTTTTTGAAAAATATGACGGTAACTAAATTTTGTAGCTGATCTCTTAACAGTGAAATTCAAAGAAAATCACAAACATGTCAACTAATGTATCACTAGAAACTGGTAAGCTAACAGATGGCCATCGTACAAGTTTAGGTCAACTACATAACGGGTGATTTATAAAAATACAAATACAACCACCTCCATAGCAGCTGGGAAATACGAGAAATTCGCCGGGAAAATAACGATGTTTTAATGACGTCACTATATGGACAAATACTGCCCAAGCAGACGACATCCCATAAAGAATGAACATAATTGCTAAGCTATTATTTGTCAAATTATAATGAGTTTGGCGTACATAAAATGTAATGGCATGTTGAACCATTCAAAAGGGGATATGACCCGATTCTGATAACTAAAATATTTTGATTGTAAATACACAGGATAGGGATTAATTAACAATCAAAGAAACCAGACTTTTAAATTGAAAAACCCCCGGAATGATATTTAGGACGGCATTTGTTCCCTCTTGAAACGCCAAACATACCGCGATGTGTGCAGCTGAATATACAATGGCGTCTTATTTTGTTTACAAGCGACAGATTCCTTTATTTTTTTTATCGCTGCATTTGTCATCAAAATAAAAACATGCGCGGGTTAAGAGTGAGGCAATAGATTATACATTTAGCCTGACGGTAGTGAAGTAAGAGAAAGAACTCAAGAGAAGATGAAAACACAGGCACTGAAAATGTGTGAGATGTCATGGGACATCGTCTGCTTGTGCAGATCATGTCCATACTGTGATCTCACACATCTCAGCAGCGTTCGGAGAGCTCTGCAGGTGCTTTATGCCGGGGCTGTGATTTAAGCGTTTTGTAACTTATAATAATCATTACTTTGAATGTTTACAAGCATTGAATTTTGATAACCTTGTTGAATCAAAGTTTCAACTTTGCAATAATGAAAATAAAGTTAGTTTTTAAAATCAATGAATATCTACTTTAAATATGAGTAGAATCATTGTATGTTATTATGTACATGAACCTCTACGGTAAAATCTAGCACATATTTCATTTGATCACATTACAACATAATAAGTCTTACAAACAGATTTTCTGACTCAGATAACTTTACAAAATGAAAAGGCAGGTATTTCAGAAGTGTGTTCAGATTTAGCAAATCTTACATAACCAATAGCCCTTGGCACATTGCACAGTAATTATGATCACTGTAGTAATGATTGCATAGATCTGTGTTCAGATTGTTCACTATACATATCTGTGTAGAAGTGTGTCAGATTGAGCAAATCTTACTTACCGAAAAGCCCTTGGCACACTGCGTAGTAGTTATGATCGCTGTAGTAATGATTGCATAGATCTGTATGTGAGAACATGATGCATTCTCTCCTGCTCCCACAGCCCTCATGTTCTGATTGATGCTTCACATCCCAACCAGGATTAGCATCTGAGAGAAAAAGGAAAGAAGATGATCAAACTGTTGGCATTTATATTAAACGCCCTCTTTCAGGAGCTACAGCCTGGTAATCATCACTTAAACTCATTAAAGTCACACAGACTGCTTTATAAAAGTACCGGTAATGCAATTCATTCTACAGTCAGAGGTCCAATACTAGACGCGCGCAAGGTACGCTTAATTTGCGCTAATTTTAATCTATGGGATAAATTTAAACCTCCTTTGTGAATTTGAGCCATGAAAGTCAAACAGACTGCTTTATTAAAGTAATATTATTCATTCTACCGGGTATAAATTTAATACTCCTGGATAAAGTGTTTCAAATAATATGCATATAATGCTTGTGCATGAGTTCTTTATATGATCTATCCACACTCAAGTTGAGGTTATGAACATTTATTGTAGGCTTTGTATGATAGATGCTCACAGCCTCAACAACAGAATGGAAACATGCATCATTTGGTCAGAGATAATAACAAAACTAATCTTGAAATGAATTCTTTTACATAAAAAACAAAAATTCAAAAGATAATTGATTCATATAATATCCTTTCTTTCCAAAACAAATTACAATGACATTCCTATATTAATGAAACTTGTCCTTGCATTTAAAATCAGCACAAGCCTTACTCTTGCTTTTTTCATTATCATTATCATCCTCGCCACTGTCAGTGTCATTGTCACTATGATCATCTTCATCATAATTTCACATCTTTGCCTCACCTTCTTTTATCTTCTTTCTATCCACTACAATGATGTTCTCTGCATCTATCACAAGAACCTCTCCGTTGTCGTTGACAGCTAGGTTATCTTCTGAGACATCGGTGAGATACAGGGCAAACTCATCCCGATTCTCAGAGAGCTGCTCGGCTATCTTCAACGCCTGTATGGAAGTAGTAAGGTTACAATGTACATGTTATTCATTGACAGCTACGTTATCTTCTGAGACATCGGTGAGATACAAAGCAAACTCATCCCGGTTCTCAGAGAGCTGCTCTGCTATCTTCAAAGCCTGTATGGTAGTGGTAAGGTTACAATGTACATGTTATTCATTGGAGGCTAGGTTATCTTCTGAGACATCAGTGAGATACAAGGCAAACTCATCCCGATTCTCAGATAGCTGCTCCGCTATCTTCAACGCCTGTATGGGAATGGTCAAGTTATAATGTTACAATGTTACTCAGGGTCCGAAACTAAACACTCCATCCACTTATCCATCAAATATAGTACTACAGACGAAATTTGTTATAATGAGGTATTTGGGCCATGTCAATTACCTTGTTATATCAGGAATCTTGTTATATCAGGGTAAAATACAAAAGAATATAAAGAGCTGGGACCAGCAAAATCACCTTGTTATAACAGATACCTCGTTATATCAGAGCTCTTTATAACAATGTTCCACTGTATAGCATACTATGTACAATGTACATTCATTGCCCACCTATCCCTCATTCCCTGCACTGGCTTTCCATCAACAAACACATTAAATTCAAAGTTCTTCTTAGTTTCAAAATCTGAAAGAGATTAGTACCTTCAGGTATCTCAAATACCTTATATGCATCATTGATAAAGGAGCAACTTCCATCAATCTTACATCTTTTTTTCACACTCATTTTTGTCTCCTGCATTCCCACCCATACTAGCTACATATGGTCAAGTGAGGTCAACGCACATGTACACTGGGTGACCAACTGAACAGAATGATCTTCAATGATCTTCCACAACTTTTGAATCTTTTAAACCCATGTTAAAAACTAGTCTGTTTGTAATGCAATTTTTACCTTTTCCTAGGCCTACTCCAAAAGTTTTATGCTGGTGCTGTATCTATTCTGCCATATACAGCAAAATGAGATTAGTGTAGCCAATAAATTCAAGTCTGTCCAGTATTTGAAATCATTTTAAACATTTCAAATACTGGTACATGTTCATGTTTTGAAGGTATAGACCAGTTTTGGAAACGCCCCCCTCTCAAAAAATGAAATGGAAGCTCTTATTACTAATCATGTGAAAGAATATGTTTTGACTAATATGTGATGATACAAATTTTGCTGCGAAACCGCCCACTAATTGATATTGGGTAAATATCTATCCGGACTGGATAGATTATCGCGCATGTGTCGCATAGTCCCATATACATCTTTCCGTGTACAGTGCTTGTAACTTTACCAAGACTAGGCCAAATTTCTTATCATTTTGATGATTCCAGAACCTTGCAGTACACACCAATACTTATATGCTAGATGATCAACCTTTTCTGATCGATTCCACAACGTTTCTTTCACAATGCAATGGCATGACCAGAACTACAGTCTTTTTACCTTTAAGGCCATAACTGATGATTTTTGTTGATTTTACAAACATTAAAAGTGGATCCAAATGGAACAGTTTCTAACAGGTTAAACAATGGGTGACCTACCTGGACGGCTAAAGCAGCTCTGACGCCAAACTTGAATTTATAGAAATAGCTTAATGAATGTCCACTGTACTCCTGCACAGTAAATCTTCCACATGCTCCCATGTACGCTGGGAATGGCCAACCCTTCCTGTTTGGAAAAGCCTGAAGAAAACAAAGGGAAGAGAAAAGGAATCAGTGTCTTAAAGCCCATCAGTACTAGTGCACAGAAGGGATTAGACAACCCTGCAAGGTCACTGGACAGGTGGTTATCTCATCAACTCAGCTCTCAATTAACATAAAAAAGAGGGTCATGGGGGACCAATGGTCATAGAGGGCGCAAGTAGCTATAAGTAGTACAGTGGGGCTTTAATTGACTGTTACAGGTGTCAAATTGAAGAAGTCAGAACAATTGACTCAACTCTGAAGTATAGATTCATAGGTTATGGGTTTGAGCTTTGGCTTCTGTTCTTCAATGTGTTAGCATTGTGCACACCTGTAAAAAGTGGTGACAAGTTAAAATCTGCACAAATGTTATGCCAGTGAAAGAGATAGAGACATCCTGAATGCTATATATACATTTAGAATATTGCTTGTTTTCATCACTCTTCTCACTTAACTTCCTAATACATTATTAATGTTGATGTAAAAAAAAAAAAATCTTTCTTTTAGGAGTTAGAAGAAGAAATAAGGCAATTGCAATGTTTATGAGTAAAATTCAATGAAACTTATGTAATACCTTCCTCATCGCCTTCAGAGGTGGAAGCAATAATGTTAAGTTGTTGAATTCTGAGACCAAGAAAAGGGTTGAAAAATAGATAGATTGATCTCACCTGCAAAATGAGTGGCTCTGGGTTAAAGGCAATGGTTGTAGCCAACATTAGCTTATGATCTCTAGCCAATGATTTATCAAACTGTCTTTCTCCAAACGTATCCCATATCCTATCTAGAAGCCTTCTTGACGGACATCTCACAATATCCGATAGTCCCATGACATCCTTCTCCTCCAACCGCTCTGCGTACATGATATCAGAGAGTTTTGACTTGTAGATCTGCTGCGAGACGTCACAACCTCTAAGGCCACTTTCCGCATTTGTACAGAGGTCCTTGTCAAACTGGTTGTGCTCAGAGTTGTGTCCAAGCTTTTTCATGACGACAGGTTTCTGGTCGAGGTAGGTGGCAAAGTAGACGTTCTTGACGTTGACGTAATCAAAGAGACGAATGGAGGAGTAGGAATGGAAACGGTAGTCGCCACGACTGAAACGCTTGCAGAGGCTCGTTCCAAAGCAGGCCGGACACTTGGTAGCCTCTGTAAAGTATTCATTCTGCAGAGATGGAAAGAGTAGGCTTATTTATCAAAGGATGAAGTAGTATTGTAATATTGTAATGTCTTGTGACAACACCTACCAAGGACCTAAATTGACTTGAGACTCGACAGACTCTAGACTCAATTTGATTCAGGACTCAAAGCCTTGCTTCTCAACTTGGAACAAGAATCAACATTTAGGGACTCCCATATCAGACTTTAATAAAATATTAGACACAAACCATACTAGCATCAAACGGTTTTTGTTGATTGATGAGAAGATCATAACTTTTAAAAAGTAGTCAAAAGGTTGGAAAAAGCTCCACATGCAACTTTCATACACCCACATAAATTTGGGTTGTACAGAAATTAATTCTCAGTGAACTTTAATGAAGACCTTCAGGGCTTGTTCCGGCCTAGACCAAAAGCTTCAGTCTCTCTAATCGTCGGTTGTTCCACTGAGACTACGTCTGGCTCCACTAGAATATGGGGAATGTCAACAAATGTCAGTTTTATTAAAGAAATGACCCATATCAGACAGTTATTTCTGTCTAGTTCCGCCCTTGATATCAAATAATTTTAATTAAATCTCTTTATTTTTGTAACCATTTGAATAGCACATAGGTTTTGACCTTTTTGGGATGATTTCATGTCATCTAATACCTTGTTCACATAGGAGGATGCAATAAACTCACAAATGCTGCAACAAATTTGAGCAAAATAAAATTATGTAAGAATAGGGCACTTCACATTTCTGGCTCTTAGTCTTATAGCATGTGGAGATGTTGTGGTACAGTGGTTCATTCACTTGACTCTCAATCTAAGGGTGGAGGGTTCAAATCCCGGCCCAGCACTAACGTCCTTTGGCAAGACATTAATCCACATTTGCAACTCTCCACCCAGGTGTTAAATGGGTACCCTGTAGGATGCAAACTTTAATATAGTATGCTCAGCATTGTGAGCGTCTGTTAAATGACGCCTGGCTAGAATGCTCCCCGGGGAGTGGAGAATGTGCATACATTGTGTGAGGGCAAGCCTGAATCCAATGACCGGGGTAATAATATATATATATATACATGTAGGTGCTTAGAGACATCATCGATGTATTAAGCGCTATATAAACGTGAAATATCATCATCATTATATAAATTCACGATTTTATTCCGATGAGGTAGAACCATACACAAAGAGCTAGTAATTATCTCTACTACCCTCTCTGCTATACCTTAATTGAACTTAATATTACCCCAAAAATGGCACAGAGCCATGTCAAATTACAAACTTTTCATCCACAAATATTACGAAATATTATGCCTTTGGTGTTCCGTACACATTTTTTTGGTGCCACCATATTTTGCCAAGCTGTACCTAAACTCTTTTTGATTTACCTCAAGGTGATTGGCTGTGAAGTGAAGGTAGAGCTGATAATAAACAAAGAGACACATCGATGAAAGAACAACGAGCCAGATTAATTGTTGGGTTGTTGAGATGCAAAAGCGATTTGTGAACTGATTGAAGTATCGCCTCATAGTGGCCATCTTAGCCATTTGTGAGGAACAGAGGAACCTATGGAGTATGGAGGAGAAATTAAGAAAATGAGCAACAAATTATCAAGTAAATAAACTCATTTCATAGATATTAAAGTATTTGTAGCACAAGGAAAAAAAAATTTTAAAGGGGATCTTGTTTGTTCCAAGGATCAGGATAGTTTGCTTTCAAGAAAAGCAGAAAACAGAATTAAGATTCTGAATTCTAATGACTAGTCTAGATCTAGAATCTAATAAGAAAAAAATAAAGTTTTTGAGTACTGGGTCTGAGTAATATTATTAGACCTAGAATAGAAGTCTACTCATATCTATTTATTGCTGTTTAAATTAAAATCTAAAGAAACAAACTTGTGTAACAGAAGGATGTGGTGTACAAATTATGGTGGTAAACTTAGCACTCACAAAAATTTAGTCAAAAAGGTGATGAATTTAATCAATGGGACAAGAATAAAACAATTTCTGTGTATTTTATAGATCTAACCAGACTCGTCTCTAGACTCTAGATCTAACCAGACTCGTCTCTAGACTCTAGGTCTAAGTCTAATTCTAGCACAACATGAGTAACGTAATAGAAATACAATACAAGTAATTTCTGACATGATTAACCTCAATTCACTCTTTGATCTTTGAAACAGGCAATTGCTTGGTAACACTACACAAAAAACCACACGTCGGACTGAACAAAATTCTGACATTCAATACGGTCTATTTATTCTATCCGCCGAAAATGAATTTAAATAACTTTTTAGCATAACATGTACAGATAACATATGCAGTATATTTATACATGATTTTTGATAAGCTAAATACCTTTAAACTGTCGTTTCTAACGGCCAGGATTGTAATTCCGCCCTCTCTTCCTTTGTACTTTGTAATGTTGTAACTATTCCCCGCCTTCCTTGATGTTTGAACAATTTGTTTACCTTCTTGATGAATCATAGCTAGCACATAATTATGCAAGTCAAGTCTCACGGGAGGGGGCAAGGGGGCACCGGGGGTAGTAGGCAGTGGCGGTTTTAGTCAGGAGGTAGGGTGTAGGGGGCTGGACGCGGACGCTCGGCAGTGGCTGATCCAGGGGGGCCGCCCCCCCCCCCCCCACAGAGCAAAAAAAATTAAAAAATGGGCCCCCTCCCCTGAGAAATCCTGGATCCGCGCCTGGCGCTAGCGCTCGGTCGGGGTGGGGGAGCAGGCGCTTAGCCAGGGGGCGGTGGGGGCGTTCGCCCCCCACAAACAAATTATTAAAAAAAAAAACATGCAGTCCAAAAGAGGGGAGAGAGAGGGGGGGGGGGGGGGGGGGAGAGAAGAGAAAATAATAAGAGGACGTATCCGTAGGCAGAAAAAGGAACAGACAAAGAAACTTTATTGAAAACTCAGACAATGCTTAAGAGTCGAGAACGGTACAACAAATCGTCTTCTTTCTCTAATAATTTAATGAAACGTCAAAGCTTCCGCGCTTTGCGCGGGGGACCCCCCCCCCCCTATCCCTGCATCAACAACGCTCTGTATGTGATTCGCATGCTCATTAACCCCCCCCCCCCCCCCCCCCCCCAAAAAAAAAACAAAAAAAAAAAAAAACGACAATAATTAAAAAAAATCCTAGCTACGCGCTTGTGGGGGAGGGGGTAAGTGTCGTTACTGTGGGTTATTTCATTGGTTAGCGTTAGTGGCAATCAGCAATTTTCGACTACTATATCATCAACAAATCTGGGCCAGCGTTTCGCAACCTTTGTATAGTCATGGCACACTGGTTTTACATCACCCATTCACACTAATCCAAAATTTCAGTCTTATTCATTGTTTTGTAGCCCTTCTTCTCTTTTTCCTTTTGAGTACAGACCTCTTTACAGAGTAGTATCGTACTATACTGGGGGTGTGCAGGTGGACCACTACACCGGGGTTTTTCCTTCATTTGCAGTTTCATTTTGCAAAACTCTGGTACTCGCCAATTAGTGCCATGTATTCATGTGAATCTAAAATCTATTTTAAAAATACATTTTAATATGGTAAAAATGTTATTTTGTAATCAAAACACACAAATATAATTATAAACTCACCTCGATACACGAATCGAGGGTATTGCTTCTAAATTTTCCGAGCAAGTGAGTAATTTCGTTCACTGTTGCCCATAAAGTTGGTATAAAAACTTTTTCTTACCTCTTTTCATGAATTGAGTAGTGACAATATATGATTTTTTCTTGATGGGTAAAGTTGATATCTTCTCAGAGATGTATGAATCACTCTTTTAAAGAGTCGTTGATCTGTAATGTTATGAGAAGATCTTTCCAGATTAAATAATACTCTCAACATCATTTCATGAAAATAAGTAAGAATAGTTTATTCAAACTTTATGAGCAACAGTGTACAAAAGATATGTACCGTGGACTTTGCTGTCAAATATGGAGGTATTGAAGGCATTTCTATTGCCTGAAATCATCCCGTTTTTACTAATGTTGTTAGCGAGTGTAGCGAGCGAAGAAAAGGACATTTTATTATCAGTTTCAAATTATATCTACTGATTAAAAGACATAGCGGTTTCTGCTTCATCTATTTGATTATCAAGACCACGGATGGAGTCAGATTTCAAGGAGGGGGGGGGGGGGGGGGGGGGAGAAAACCCTAGTCATGCTTTTGCATGATAACAATGTAGCCGAGATTGTAAACGTTATTTAATTAGTAACCCTGAAACGTAAATAGAACAAATCTAGGCCGATACCTCCTACCAATAGATCAAGTCCTATAGATCAAGAAATTCCGACAGAAGACAAACACATCCATTCATCCGTTTCCTTTGATTTTGAACACTTGCCAAACCTCGTTTTTTGTTCCTGGCCCGGGTGTCTACGTTCCTGTCTCCTTCCCCCTAACAATTCTCTTCCTTTTTTTCTTTATTACTACAACTTCATTGCCACCCTTGAAATGGTGTATGGAAGTCAAAGTTATTCTGTCCATGGTGCTAAGGCAGGGGAAATGGAGAGGAAGAGAGGATGGAGGGAGAAAGAGAGGGAGAGAGAGTGTAGCATATCAATGCAGAAGTTTGAAGTCGGTGAAAATGATGTAGTATGTCGGTCGGCCGGCAATTTTTTTTCCCCCTACGAACTGTGACTTTTTTATCGGAAAAAAGAAACATTAAAAAAAAAATCAGACAATGATTACAAGTCGATACAACGAATCGTCTTCTTTCTCTAATAATTCAATGAAACATCAAAGCTTCCGCGCTTCGCGCGGGAGGGAGAAACTAAATTCAGACAAGGATTAAAAATGAGTAGAGAACGGTACAACGATCGTCTTCTTTCTCTCTAATAATTTAATGAAACGTGAAAGCTTCCGCGCTTCGCACGGGAGGGGAAAAATGAATTCAGACAAGGATTAGGAGTCGAAAACAGGAACGAATATTCTTCTTTCTCTAATGATTTAATGAAACGTCAAAGCTTCCGCACTTCGCGCGGGAAGGGGAAAAACTGAATTCAGACAAGGATTAACAGTCGAGAACGCACTACGAATCGTCTTCTTTCTCTAATAATTAAATGAAACGTCATGGCTTCTGCGCTTCGTGCGGGAGGGGCGAAACAAGGAGTAAGATTCGGGAACCGTACAACGAGTATTCTTTTTCTATTAATTTAATGTAGTGTCAAAGCTTCCGCGCTTCGCACGGGAGGGGGAAACTGAAAAATAACTTAGTTCCTGGCCCCGGGTATAGGGTGAAATATGTAGACATTGGGACATTGGCATTAATATATGTGTTGGTAATTGGTGGCTAGTTTTGTCGGTAATTGGTGGCCTCTACACCCCCCCCCCCCCACTTAACAGGTCTAGCGACGCCCCTGATAACAACACAGTTTATACACTCGAGATAACTTTTGCAAGTACTACTGGTAAAGTACCAGACCACCGTCTTTGTGTGTTGTGCAGCAACGAAGCATATACAACGTCTCGCGACGTGACAGATCACTTTTCCTAAGGCTTCTCACCAATCAGAAGGCCTCATTTTTTCCAGGAAGTACTGGTGGACATTTAATGCGCCAAATGTGGTTCTCAAATTGCAAATGCTTCCTTCTCACCAGACCCATCCCCGCTTGGTCGCTCCGCTCTCTCGCCGCTGGCGCCTCGCTCCATCTTTTTTTGGATATATATTTTCACCTTATGCGATTTCATCCGGTAAGACATTCCTGGATCCGCCACTGAGTATAGTAGTTTTTCATGTCTTTATCAAATTAATGTCAAAGTTTGTCATCTTTAACCAATTAGATTTGTAAATTTGATGGAACAAAATCAATAATAATAATAATAATAATAATAATAATAATCTTTTAAAGTCCACTCCAAATTGGAAATTCTTTTTGCCCAATTATTGATCGTGAGCCCGACAGCCACTAAGAAGCGCTAGATCCACGTTGCTCTATTCCTTATTGTTGAACGCCAAACAAGGTAGCAGCAACTCCCGTCTTTTAACGTCTTTTGGTATGACGCGGCCGGGGTTCGAACCCACGACCATGTATTCAAGTCTAAGTTTTCAGTTGTCAATATTAATAGACTTAATGCTGTTGGAATGCCTGTTCGTGCTGTAAATTAATTTTAATATGCATCTGTGTATACGCATGTTTCCGTCGTTGTCTGTCTGTCCCTCTTTCTCTCTCCTCCTATTCTTCTTCTTCTTCTTCACTTCATTTTCCTTCTTCTCCTTCTCCTTCTTTAGCTTCTTTTCCTTCTTCTTTTTTTCTTCTTTTCTTCTTCTTTTTCTATTGTACATTTCTTTTTCTTCTTCTTCTTCTTCTTCTTCTTCTTCTTCTTCTTCTTCTTCTTCTTCTTCTTCTTCTTCTCATTCTCCTCCTCTTCGTCTTATTTTTTCTTCTTCATATCCATCTCGTTCTCTTTAAAGCTGGCCTCTGTCGCCCCGAAATTTCCCCATGAAGCTTTCGACGAAAAGCTGCATTTACCATAAAAGCCACTTCAGAAAGAATTAAAGTGCTAATCCATTATAATTTGAATATGTTATCCTAGTCAAAAGGGAACATTCCATACTGATATCAAATTGTTTTTGATTACAAAATAAGATGATCAAGTCAGTGAAAGTTAAGCAATTTTGAGCAATTTTATTATTTTTAATTGTTTTTTGCTCAAGCTTTCACTGACTTGTTTCTCTAATTGTTCTGCTTTTATTAAAACCAACTTAATATTAGGGTAGAATTCCCATTTAATTGCTGGATTTGATAACAAAATTTCATTCAAGAGGTCATGAATAATCAATAAGATGAGTAGGCCTACTAAAAATCTAGAGCAGAGTTATAATAATTCTTAATAGTGAGAAGAGTGATATCATTCTGTCACAGTAAATTGTAAAAAGTGATGTTTAATGCATGGATACGTCTAATTATGTCGGACAACGTGGATATTCTTATCATGTTGATATGTACGATACATTTGCTCTCAGTGGTGGAATAGCGTATTTCAAAATGGGGGTGCACCAACAAAAAAGGGCACTTTCTTAGAAAAAGGGGCACCGTGGTACAAAAGGTAACCTCAAGCCGATAATCCCATTTTTGGATATTGGTTTATACTTCTCCATTGTAATTAAAACATTATCAGGGATGATTTTCAACATACAGTTTTGTGTGATTTTCTGAAATTCATTCGCGAACGAGCGTGCACAAATTAAAAAAATATATTAGGGCAGAAATCTATCCTGTTTCGGATGAGATGAGGCATGATAAAAGTATAAAAATCATCTTGTCAGAACATGTATGGTAATGAATGACATGTGGTCATACACATGTAGTTGCCTTTAGTTTGAAAATGTTCACAATTTTTAAGTGACACTGGGAAATACAGGGGGAAATGGATAAAAGGGGCTGTTATATATTATAGAAAGATAATTTGACACTATGTCTTGTCTTATTTCAGTTGTAATGCTTTTCATGACAGAGG